TGTCACGGCCCAATTCTATAAAATCCCCAAACCCTAAAAATCCCGTTACCCGCAGCCCAAGTTAACCAAAACCCTAACCTAGAGTCTCCCTATATCTTTATATAAGTCCACGCAAGTGAGGAGGAAGATCAGAGTTGCACAGCTAGCAAAACCCTATTGTTCTCGCTCTAGCCGTCTTTGCCTTCTCAGTTAAGCCAGTTCCAAGTTGCTGTTTTGCGGGGCTGATTGCCGGCGGCTCAGAAGGAATTAGATCGTGATTCTTATATATTTGGAAAGATCACGGATTCTAGTTTCTGAAGCGTTTTTTGGATTTGAATTACGAGGTATGGTCTGCTCGCAAATCGTATTTGAATATCAGGAAAAATCACAGTTTTCTGAATCTGAAATTCTTAGTCTCAYATCCGACCAGAGCACTTGRGGGGTYATTTTCCGGCGAACCGTGAGGAGTTAGGCGACGATATACATACCGTTGGATAGAGGATTCTTCGTAGATTCCGTGGCTCTATTCCGATTTGGATTCCGAGGTAAGATGAACCCGCAATCTACGATTTAAGTTTGCCCTAGATGTCTGACCAGATTCTGTTCTCGGGTTTCACAGAGCTAACTTTGGAGGAAGGTTTACGCTGTTACAGAAGGAGTTATAACACGATTTTGGTACCGTTGGAAAGGTGACGTTACAAGGATTTCAGATCAAGTTCCGGTTTTCRAATRRGATRTAAATCCGGTGAGTTGTTGATYTTTCTTTCTGGTCAAGAAARATTTATWCTGTCAAAATCCAGAAACGTATTTTTGACTTGAATCACTTTTTCAGAACGCATATTCACATCCTTCTAGGTTCACTCCTCCATATTTGGTCATCCAAAGGCTAAGGTGAGGGTGTTGTCTAGATTACTTTAATARTAGTTAACACTAGATGTTCTTACATGTTAGTCTAGGGATGGAATGTGATGTTGTTGGTTATATGTGCTAAATCTAGGAATATTTGATGCTTGCTGATTGTTAGTAAAGATTGTTTGATGTGTGGAAATTGATTGGTAGTTAAATGAAGTTAAAGATAAAAAGTATTGTTTGAGATTGTTAGAGTATAGGATAGTTCTGGGAACGATCGCGTACYTAAGCCRYTTACAGAARTTTYCYTGTTGYACTACGAACGATCGCGTATGTAAGCCCGTTGTAGTCCATTAGGCCTTAGAGGGCCATGACGGGGATGACAGACCCAAAACGCGAGAAAGGGGTTGGTTCCGGCGTGAATTT